TAGCTGGGTGTGGTGATGTGTGCCTGTAATCTCAGCTACTTAGGAGGCTGAGGCAGAAGAATCGCTTGTAGCTAGGAGGCAGAGGTTGCAGTGAGCTGAGATAGTGCCACTGCACTCCAGCACGGTAGCCTGGCAGTCTGGGTCACAAAGCAAGACTCCTTATAAAAAAAAAAAAAAAAAAACTTAAATAAGGGGAAAAATATAGCTTGTTCATAAACCAGAAAACTCAGTATTGTTAAAATAGCAATTTTCCCCAAAGGAATCTATAGATTCAGTATGATACCAATCAATATTCAACAAGCTTCTTTTAATAGATGTTGGCAACCCAATTCTGTAATTTTCATAAAAATACAAAGAACTGAGAATAACCAAAACAATTTTGAAAAAGAACCCTAAAGTTAGAAGACTTACTATCTAATTTCAAGAGTCTAAATAAACATCAATGGAAGAGAATAAGGAGAGTCCACAAACAGACCTACACGTACACATGTGCAAGTAAAGTTTGACAAAGGTGCCGATGCAATTCAATAGGGAAAGAAAACTCTTTCCAACAACTGGGTATACAAATAGAAAAAAAATGTCAACATTGACCCTTATCATAAAACATTCACAAAAATTAACTCTAAATGAGTCACAGACCTAAATATAAAACCTACAAACTTCTAGGAGAAAAGACCAGAGAGTATCTTTGCAATTAGGGAGGCAAAAGTTTCTTTTTTTATTAATTATTATTGTTTTTTGAGACAGAATCTCACTCTGACACCCAGGCTGGAGTGCAGTGGCACAATCTCGACTCACTACAATCTCCGGGGAGGCGAAGGTTTCTTAAATATGATACATAAAAGCATACAACATAAGGGAAAAAATGATAAATTAAAACATTTTGCTCTTCAAAAGACACCATTAAGAAAAGGAAAGACAAACCAGACTGGAAGGAAATATAACAGACAAAAGAGTTATATTCAGAACAGATTTCTAAAAATACAATTCAATAAGATAACCTACATTTCTTTAATGGACAAAAATGTAAACTGACACTTTACAAAAAAAGATATAGAAATGACCAATAAGACTATGAACAGATGCAAAAAAAAGGAAAAAAAAAGAATACAAACAGATGCTTAACACTATTATTCATATATGATGAATTAAAAACCACAAATTAAGCCAGGTGTGGTGGCTTGTGCCTGTAATCACAGCACTTTGGGAGGCCAAAGCAGGAGGATCACTTGAGGTCAGAAGTTTGAGACCAGCCTGGCCAACATGGTGAAACCCCATCTCTACTAAAAATACAAAAATTAGCCATGGGGGTGCACGCCTGTAATCCTAGCCACTCAGAAGGCTAAGACAGGAAAGTCACTTGAACCTGGGAGGCGGAGGTTGCAGTGAGCCGAGATCAAGCCACTGCACTCCTAGGTGACGGAGGGAGACCCTGTCTCAAAAAAAGAAAAAAAAACCCCACAAAACCACAGTGAGATACCACTACACATCCATTAAATTAGCTAAAATTGAAAAGACTGACTGGTCATACATTGCTGGTTGGAATGCAAAATAATACCACTTTGGAAAACAGGTAGTTTCTTAAAAAAACAAATGAAACATACTCCTGCCATATGAATCAACCAACCTATGATGGTAAATGCCACCTTAGATATTTATCTGAAGAAATGAAAGCATTTGTCTACACAAGACTTGCACAAGAATGTTCATAGAAGCCTACTGACACCTAAAACTGAAAATAACTCAAATGCCCATCAAGGTAGATGGCTAAACAAATTATGGTATCCATAATGGAATTCTACTCAGCAATAAAAACTATTTTTCATCTCAAAATCATTATTCTGAGTGAAAGAAATCATGAAAAAAATGAGAACATCCTGGGTGACTTCATTTATATAAAATCCTGAAATATGCAAACCACTGTACAGTGGTGCCTGTAGACAGGAATAGAGGAAGAAATGGCAAAGAGACATGAACAAACTTTTGGGAGAGACAAAAATGTTTGTTATCGTGATTGTGGCAATGGTTTCACGGGTACAGACATGGGTCAAAGCTGACCACAGTGTATGCTTTAAATATGTGCAGTCTATTGTACTCCAAGTATACCTCGATACAGGTATTTTAAAAATTTAATGGATTGGCAGGCCTCTAAAGCCAAAACCGATCATCGCAAACAATGCTAGAAAGACTTGATGGGCCAGACGTGGTGGCTCATGCCTGTAATCCTAGCACTTTGAGAGGCTGAGGTGTGCAGACTGCCTGAGCTCAGGTTAAGATCAGCCTGGGCAACATGGTGAAACCCTGTCTCTACTATAAAATACAGTGACTTAGCCAGGAGTGGCGGTGTGCACCTGTAATCCCAGCTACTCCGGAGGCTGAGGAAGGAGAATTGCTTAAATGTGGGAGACAGAGGTTGCGGTGAACCGAGATCATGCCACTGCACTCCAGCCTGGATGACAGAATGAGCCTCCATCTCCAAAAACAAAACAAAACAAAACAAAAACCAAAAAAGACTTAATGGTACCAGCAAGCCATTAAGAACCAAGCCCCAGGGAATGACTCTCAGGAAACTCTTCATGTAGGAATTTCTTACTATCAGTGTAGGACTCAGAAATACAGTACACATCTACCCTCTTATGAATAAGCATAAGCAGACTGAAAAGGCAATGATTCATAAGATCAGCATAATTAACATGTTGGAGGTTAAGTCAAGGTGGTTAGGGAATCCTTCCTTCCAGGTCTCATGTTTTATTTTTAAAGGACTCAACAAAAACAATTCTCAGGTATTTTACACTATCTACCTATCGGCCCCAGGACATTTGATTATTTATTAAAAGCCAAATTAAGCTCAAACTTTCCTTTCCATACATACAACAAGAAAAAGCTTTATTGTGATAAAATATCATAATTGTAATTATTTTATAATTTGTTGTCACCAGTGCAGCAACTCTCAGCTTCTGATCACAAACATAAAATGTTTAGCCTATTTTTAACTCCTTTCTGATCTACCAAAAAATTTTAAGAGCCCCTAGCTTATTCTTCTATGTGTAAATATTTAGGTTTCATTAGAAAAGTACTTTAGTTCATCTTGGTATCCTTCGTAAACTTATTTAATTTTACCCAATCTTTAAAAGCTGGTGTTCACCATGATTTCCTTCTCTACTCTTTTCTGATCTCATTTCTCACAACTAACTCTCAAATGTCACAATCTCATAGGAAGCTAGTTTAAAATAAGGATTTCCACACCCTAACACCAGTGATTTCAAATCTGGTTAATGGATGGGGGCCTAACAATCTTATATTTTAACAATTATCTCCAGGTGACCAAGGTACATACTGAGAAACACTGCTCTAACCACTTTCCCTAGAATAGCGCATGAATACTCAGCTTGTGGAGGAAAACACCATGTTTCCAATTATTTTTTAAAGCTGGTGATTCCCAATTCTGTATTTCAGACCAGCTCTTCATCTGAGGTCCAAACCTATTTGTTTTTGTTCCAAATGTTGCTCCTCATTCAGGAATTCCTAGTTCCCTGAAATTACTCCAAAATTCACCTGATTGCCAAAGCCAGAAACCAATAGACATCCTATCTTCCTTCTCTTACTTCTCATCATCACAACCTGTACATTCTCTATACATCGTTCCCTATGTATTCCCTATATATCGTTCCCACCATAGGCTGCACATGTTCTTCATTCATCTCTGAGGTCATCATAATAAACTCTGAACCAGTTTCCCAGTACCATTCCAAATCCATCCTTCATAATGTTGCCAGGGTGGCCTTTCTAAGACCAGCATCTGGCTATTTCATTCCCTCATCCCTTCCAGGATAAAATCCAAACACTTTAGCATGCCATCATAAAAGGTCCTTCATGGTCTAGCCCCTACTAACCTCTCTAAACACTCTCCCTGCAATCAATCCCTCATCCTCCAACCCAGTCATACAGAACTACTTGCTATCCATTAACTTCTTCCACACACTCACATACTGTTCTCTCTTCTGAAAAATTTCTCCTTCTCGCTAACTGCATGATTCCTCAACTTTCAAGTCTATCCTTAGGAGTGACCTGCTCTGATAATCCTTCCCTTCCAAACTATCACTCCCCTTCCCCAAAGGCTACATTAAATTCCCATTTAAAAATACTTACAATAATTATTGCAATGAACTGTGTTGATCTACTTGCCTATCTCCCCTTCTAGACTGCTAGTTGTTTTTCATGCCTGTATACCTAACCTACTACAGAACTGGCACACACAGCAGACATTTCATAAATGTCACCTGAATGAATCCATTTAATGTCTCGTTAACAAGAATGTTTTCCTTTGTATTAACCATGGAAAAACTAAGTACCTTCAGTGTTCTAAATAATAAACCAGTCTTACAGCCAAGTAGTTTAAAAATACAAGGATTTCTTCCAGCCATTTTTATCATCCATCCCAAGTTAATCAATGTATTTATGAGCACGAATGTGATGTCTGGAGAAGTACAGGATTACCTCTAAGTCATTGGTTCCATTTTTGTTATAACTTGTACTCTTTTTTGCAAGCTAGGTTTCTCTCCCACACACTAGGCTTATACGTACACTGTCCAATCCAGTAGTCACTAGCTACAGGTGGCTATTTAGTTAAAATAAAATAAAATTTAAAATTCAATCCCTCAGTCACACTAGCCACACTTCTAGTGCTCAAAAGCCATATGGGGCTAGTGGCTATGATATTAGACAGTGCAGATACAGAACATTTTTGTCACAAGTTCTAATGGGTAGCGCTGGACACACAATCACAAAAGAACCTTAGAAAAACCTCTTACTTAGCAAATAAAATTTAAAATTCAGTCCCTCAGTTGCACCAGCCACATTTCAACGGCTCAAAATCCACACAGGGCTAGTGGCTGTGATACTGGACAATGCAGATACTGAACATTTTCATCACAGGAAGAAGTTCTACTGGACAGTGCTGGCGACACAATCATAAAAGGACCTGAGAAAACCTCACTTACTTCTTAGCTCCCACGATCCTCGTGCTCCTCTGCTGTTTAAAGGTTGTGGGTCCCGAAGTCTAGCAAATCACAAGCACACGAGTGAGTGCTAGGGACCTCTGAACCTCGACCACAAAAAGAAGAATTCCCCTACGCCCAGAAAAAATGAAGCTCTCCCGGGGCAACAACCTCAAACTGAAGAAGGCAACACTCTTTAGGAAAAATGTGCTGTCCTATCTTCCAGCTGTGCAAAGGCTGGTAACAATACCAGAGCCTTCGTCTTCCCCATTCTCAAAGCCCTGTCCCAGGCTCTAAAAGGGAGGCCAAAAGAAAAGACAACGGATATGAGACATTGGGGATGTAAAGGAATAGAAACTAACGGCAATGTGGCGAGGAATTAAACCCAAGGAGGTGGGGAACAGGCAGCAGAACGTGTAAAGAAAAAGGGGACAGGTGATCTGATCTAGAAGGATGGGGCCTACGATGGCCTCTGATAAAACCAACTCTGAGCATGGGACAAAAGCTAGAGACCGTGTGTTCTGGGCTTGACAGTGCTACCTCTAAAGCATGACGGTCAAACCAAGAAACCCACAGGTACAGCACCGAGTCTGGAAGACATCACTCCCTTTCCACACCTAACAATTTCACCAAAGAACTCCGGCCAGACCAACGCCACTTCCGCTCTCCTTGCCTCTCCCAGATGTGGGTTCGCCCTGCCTAGCCCTCTTCTGAACGTCTACTTCTGCCTAGCAGCTTCCGAGGCGGCTGAGGCCGGAGAGAGTCACATGACAGTAACCCTCCTATTCCTGAGATCCCGCCCCACTGGGATCTCAACAAGGGACCTGGGAACCTGTGGGTAGGGTCTGGAACGAAGGGGCGGAGCTTAGAGCCTCTGCCCAGCCTTAAAACCCCTGCTCTCATTCCGAACCTTTGTATAATTCCTCGTGTCCCATCACCTTGCCTCCCCCACCCACCCACCCAGTGGCCTCAGTCTAGATGCACAGGGAGATCAGTTACTGCCGCTTTATTACAGAAATTACAGACGATTCTCACACACCACCCCCCGTAGAGAGACATGGAAGCCTTTCCATGCTTGGGGCGCAGGAACTGGAGGCAATGGCTGAGCAGGAAAAAAGGCTGGAAAGGGCAGCACTGTGAAGATTTGAGGGAGACAATGAATAATAGGGGTGGATCTCGCCTCTTAGAGTAGCTTCAGGCCTCCACACTTGCTCTGCTTTGGGATTTTTGTGTGTGGTCCCAAGGAGACTTGTTCCATCCTTGAAAAGGCTGGGACTATTCTCAGGGGAACTGTGCTTGAGTCTCTCCTTAAGGGGACTTCGATGGCTTCTCCCGGAGGGCCTCCCTGGCCTCATCTCAGAGGGACTGTGATGGACTCTCTCCCAGGAACTGCGATGGCTCCTCCCCTGGGGCCTCCCTGGCCTCATCCTGGAGGGACTGCGATGGCTTCTCCCAGAGGGCCTCCCTGGCTGTATCTCAGAAGGACTGTGATGGGCTGTCTCATAGGAACTGCAGTGGCTCATCTCAGAGGAACTGTGACATGTTTTCCCAGAGGAACTGTGTCCTCTCCTCTCAGAGGGACTGTAACGGCTTCTTTCGAAGTGACTGAGGTGGCTCTTCTCTAAGGAATTGTGGCTTCTCTGAGAAATCCTACGGTGGCTCCTCTCAGAGGACCTGTGACATCTCCTCTCAGAGGGACTGCGTTGGCTCCTCTCAGAGAGACTGTGATGGCTTCTCTCAGAGGAACTCTGATGGCTCCTCTCAGAGGGACTGTGATGGCCCCTTTTAGAGAGACTGTGATGGCTCCTCTCAGAGGGACTGTGATGGCCCCTTTTAGAGAGACTGTGATGGCTCCTCTCCAGGGGACTGTGATTTCTCCGAGAGGGACTATGATGGTTTCTCCAAGAGCGGCTATGACGAGTTCTCTCAGAAGGACTGCGTCGGGTTCTCTCCCTATAGAAGCTGGGGTGGTTTTGCTCCTCGTGTGTGAGTTTCTCTTTAAGGTGTCGGTGCCAGGTTCTCTTCACAGGGGAGCCAGGTAGGTTTCTTCCTTGGGCCTGAACTCTGGTTCCTGGTGGGGGCAAGTTCTTAGACTCCTGGCTGGAGATTTCATTTTTCTTTGACCTGCTACTACCGTCCTTTCGGACAGTTCCCAGAGGCTGCTCCACTGAGGCAGCTTGGAAAATGATATCACTTTGGGAACCTGTGGGCTTGGGCAGTCGAAGAGGTCTGGGTTGGAAACAGTGAGCTCTTCTAGGCTGTTGAGCTGAACTGCACTGGTCTGTCCCTTCCCACAATATGTCCTCCTGCTTAATGGTTGAGCCTGCTGACCTTAGCTTGTCAGCTGACCTCCTGTCTCTTTTGATATTGCTGGGTAAGCAGTAGTCCCTGGCATTTTGCTTTGGATAATAGTTTTTGCTTGCCCACAAATTGTCTGGGATTGTCCTGTCACCAGGCTTCTGCCCAACAAAAGCTAAAACTCTGTATGCTGTTTGGAATGCCCGCTTTAGGCCCTGAAAAAGCAGTTGCATGAACTTGGGTTGGGAAGGTTTCTTCGGTTGTCTTTTTAAGGAGGCAGTACTTGTCTGAGCTGCTCCAATCGTCTTCCTTCTTAAATGGGCTGGTAATTCCCCAGAGGGACTCTCTATTGTGGTTCTACTGCTTGTGTAGAACTTTCTGTGTTTTCTAAGTCCCTTGGTCATTCTCTTCATTGGATATTTTGAACCAGAGGTCTTTTTGGTTCTCACTTTAGCCCGTTTCTCATTCTGAGTGCTTTCAGAGTCACTCTCTGATAGGGTGTGAACCTGAATGGATTCATAGTGTCCAGGTGCTCTAATTATTGTGTTTTCTTCCAGGTCAGGGCTGCTGCATTGTCTTCGCCTGATGTAGACTTGTACAGGAGCAGGGGACTGGGAGGACCCAGACTGCAAATCTATCATGGAAGTAGGACTCTTGGAAGCTTGAGCATGGATTTTAGCTTTCCTTTGTGATGGTGACATAGTTCTTCGCCGTATGACGGGTCTATCTCTTTCATGATACTTTGAGATTTGGGGTCTTTTCCTGGTTCGCAGCCTAAAGCCAAGGTGCAACCGAATCTCACCATGGCCTTCAGGAGTGCTTACAAGGTGAAGCTGTGGATAAATCAGAAGATAAGGCCCCGAAGTGGTCTGTAATTTATGATGGCAGTTAAATCCTGAACATCGGCCACACTGTAGGCAGATGGGGTACTTTAGGACTAGACCTGAAGCTAGAGGCGGAGGCACATCGGGGGGTATTTGACTCCTTAAGAGTTTTGCTGCTATTTTTAGCTGCAAATCTTGTAGCAACTGGAGCTGTTCTGAAAAGTCACTCTGGGGAAGATAATTTGGCTTGAGGGAGTGTTCGGACTCCAAAATCCTTGTTTGGGAATCACTCTGTGAGTTCTCACTTTCTTCCATTGGAACAAGATCTTCTCTGTTGTAAAATATGCTGATGGAAGACTCTGACTTTACCAGGACAGGAAGCTGACCCCCTGCACATGTGACAGGCATAGGCTGAATGACTTCTTGGGATATACCACTGAACCCTGAGCTTGTTTTCTTTATTCCCACTCTCGTCCCAGAGTATTGCCGTATTACGGAAGATGTGGAGCCACGTGTCCACATTTTTAAGGCCATTGACCTATGTCTCTGAATGTAGTGTTTGACCACTGAAGGCTGAGAAATAGTAACTGGACCCTTCTCTGGCAGCCTCTGGGAAGCTTCCATTAGTTCAGCTGGAATCCCAAATAAATTCTGAATAGACTGACAGGTATCTGCAGTGGCTTTTTCTGCTAGAGATGTTTGAGAACAAAGCTTCCTTTCCATAGTGGTCCCTAAAACATTCCCCAGTGTTAGCATAGTGGAGAGATATTTTCTTGGTAGTCGCTGCCTCCAGGCATGACTCTCCCAGATGTTGTGTTGTCTGCCCAGGAAAGACTTGGTGAGGGATTTTTGAGCCCCTGATTCTGCGCGGAATGTCCTAGATAGTGATCTCCAGCTTTGTGACAGATGTCTCTGAAGTGAGTTCTCTAGCTCCTCCATTTGCTTGCTCTTAGTTTTCTGTTTAGATATGGCATCCACTCCTGGAATCTCAGGGCATGGGTTTTCCACAAGGTTAGCTGTCTTATCAGAGCTTTGATTATAAAGGGCCAAGGGAAGAGTTAAAGATTGCATCATAGTAGGGTCTAGATAGGTCTCTTCATGCTGCAAAATATCTGTCCCAAGGTTTTTTACATCCAAAACTCTGGATACTTTCTGTATCCCAGAATCCCAAAGTCCTCCTAATTCAGATGCTGTTTTGACAGAGCTTGAAATAAGTGAGGTCGAAGAGCTATGTAGGAACCTAGAGAAGTCAGTACCCACTTGTAACTCTTCCGATGTTAACTTCTCACAGTCCCTATTGTGACACACCTGTCCTAGATTCAAATCCTCAGATTCCATAACTTTAGGAGGCTCTATTTTTATCACTGTAGATTTCACAGCCTGAAGTCCTTGTTGATGAGTCAATATTGTATGCTCCTTAAATGGAGATGTTTGCTGTGAGGTTAATTCTTCAAATTTCACTTGAATATGTGGCCTTAGAGTTGATTCTACAGGTACTATCAGTTCTTGAAGATGTGGCCTTGGAAGTAAATTCACAGAACTTGTTGATTCAATTCCTGATTCTAGGGCTACTCCTATTGGTTCTACAACCTGAGGAATTGGTCCTGGTGCTAATTCCTCAGATTTTACAATTTGAAGGGGTGGCCCTGGGATTAACATAGTTTTTACAATTTGAAACCCTGTCAACTCCATTGTTTCTACAATCTGGTGCTTTGGCTTTGTGATTAACTTCTTAGATTTCACATCTTGTAAATATGGCCCTGAGGGCAGCTCTGAAGGTCTCACATCTTGCAGTTTTGGAGTCAACTCAATATATTCTACCACTTGAGGGGTTGGCCTTGGTATTGTCACAGACTTTACAACTTGAAATCGTGGTCCAGGGGTCCCTTTCTCAGACTGAACAACTTTTGGAACATCTACAAGGGTTACCTCTTCGGACTGAGCAACATGAAGCTGTGTCCTTGCAGATTCTGTGACTTGATCCAGTGGTTCTGGACTAATCCTTGTAAATTCTAAAATTTGATCCAATGGTCCTGGGGTTGTCCCTGGAGATTTCATACTTTGATTCTTTGACTTTGTTAGCCCCATTGATACTTCCCTGTGCTGCCATGCCTCAGAGGTGAGCTCTGAAGATTCATCATGTCCTATAACTTGACTTGTTTCCTTCATGGGCACCTCTAAAGATTCTTCCATTTGCAGCCATTGCTTATAGTTCAGATTTACAGAGTCTGGGACTTGATGTCCCAACCCTACTGTTATCGCTGAAGATCCCACATGATGATGTGGTTTGGGAGTTAATTCCAAAGTTTTCTCCACCTGCACTCCTGACTGAGAAGTCAGCTCCACAGATTCAGGAACCTGATGTCCTAACCCAGGTGTCATCCCTGAAGCAGAATCTGGGACGTGATGTAATGACTTTGGAATCAATACCACAGATTCTTCCCTTTGCAATCTTTTCTGAGAGATCACCTCCACAGGTTCTAAGTCTTGAGAACGGAGCCTTGGGGATCTCTCTGCAAATCCAGGGTCTTGACTTGTTGGCTTTGGAGTCACTCCAAAGAATTCATTTGCTTCTATCCTTGCCTCAGTGGTCAACCCCATAGCTTCTGTAAAGTAATGCTTGAGTTCTGGGGTAATCCTTTCAGATTCCACAATTTGCTGCCGTGGCTTTATATATAACTCCTCCAAATCCTTATCTTGGGGCCGTGGCTGAGAGAGCATTTCCATAGTTTCTAGGATTTGGTGGCTTTTCTCTGGAGTTAATCCTAAGAATTTTGAGCCTTGATTCCTTAGCATTGGAGTCAGATCAACAAATTTTGGTACTTGAAGATCTGGCTGCAGCAGCATCCCTAAAGATTCCATGGCTCTGCCTGGTAGCTTTGAGGTCAACCCCACAGATTTCTCTATAGGATCTCTGCCTTTATGTGCCAATCCTTGCGCCATTTCTGAAAATTCTGTGGCATGATAAATTGGTATTGAAATCAAATTTGCAGATTTAGGGACTTGATACTTTGGCTGTTGGATCATCTCTGCATATTTTGCAAACTGATGCCCCGGTCTAGGGATGATTTCAGAGGATGCCATGATTTGATCATTTGTTCTTGGAGTCTGCTCCCCATATTTCACTGTCTGAAGCAGTGGCCCTGGTGCTAATTCCACAGATTTTATAGTTTGCTGCAGAGACACTGAAGACAATTTCACATGTTTTACACTTTGTAACTTTGGCTCTAGAGTAAACTCCAAAGATTTCACACCTTGTTGCTGTGATTCTGGAGACAAATTTGAAAATCTGACACTGGTCAACATTGGACCTGATGGGAACTTCCTAGTTGGCTCTGGTGCCAACACCATTGATTTCACATCTTGCCATCCTGAAGTCAACTCTTGATAATTTATACCTTGCTGTTGGGCCCCTGGTGTCAGCTCCATAGGTTTTATATATTGAAAACATGGCTTTGGTGCAAAGTCCACAGATTTAATGCATTGTGACCTAAAGCATGTCAAAGAATTTACACTTTGAGGTTGTGGCCATAGAGTTGACTTCACTGATTTCACATCTTGAGAACATGACTCTGATACAAATAGCATAGATTTCATATTATGCTGCCTGAGGTGTGAATGCAATTCCTCAGAATTCATACCTTGAGGATATGGTTCTGGTTTTAACTCCACAGATTTTGCTTTTTGAAAACATGGCTCTAATGTAAATATCTCATATTTTAAGTCCGGTAGCTCAGGGGCTGAAATAATTTTTGCAGTATTTGCATCATAAAGCAATGGCTTCTTATTTATGTCCACAGACTTTACATCTTTAAGCAGTGGCTCTGGTAAAAATACCTCAGATTTCATATCATTTATCTGAGGACCCAAAGTGAATGCAGGTTGCACAGCTTGCTGTGAGCCAAGGTGCTTCCCCAAAAATTGGACTCCTTGAGACTTAGTCCCTGGAGTTAACTCAGAAGATTTCACACCTTGCAAATGTGGTCTGGGATTGAACAGAATAGATTTTGTACCTTGGGATTCTGACCCAGGGTTCAATTCAGAGGGCTTCATGTCTTGTATATGTGGCCCTGGATTCAAGTTGATAGAATTTATGCATTGAAATTCTGACTCTGAATTCAACTCAGAAAAATTCATACCTTGCAGCTGTGGGCCAGAGTTGAACTCTTTTGGTGTTATATCTTGAAACTTTGTCCCAGAAGTCAGTTCATATTTTACATCTTGTAAATGTTGCACAGAGTTGAACACAGCCGATTTTATACTTTGAAGCTCTGGCCCTGGATGCAACTCAGATTTTATAACTTGAAATTTTGTCTCTGATTTTACACCTTGCAAGTGTGTCTCAAGTTTGCACTCCATAGAGTTTACACATTGTAACTTTAGCCCTGGATTCAACTCAGAAGAATTCACATGCTGCACCTGTGACCCAGGGTTGCATTCCACAGGTTCTACACATATAAACTTTGACCCTGGAGTCAAATAAGATTTTAAATCTTGCAAATGTCATCTAGGGTTGAACATCATAGATGCCTCACTTTGAATTTCTGTCCCTGGGTTCAATTCAGAACACTTCATACCTTGAAGTTTTGAAACTGGAGTTAATTCAGGAGATTTCATACCTTGTAAATATGGATCTGGGTTGTACCCAATAGAATTTACACATTGAGCTTGGGGCTGTGGAATAAATGCAGAATTCACACTTTGCAATTGTGGACCTGGGCTGCACCAAGTAGAATTTGCACACTGAAGTTTTGGCCCTGAAATGGGTGCAGAGGAATTTATACCTTGAAAATGCAGCCCTGGATTGTACCCAATAAAATTCACACATGGAAGTGGTGGCTCTGGAATGGATGCAGAAGAATTCACACCTTGCAAATTTGACCCAGGGTTGCACCCATTAAGATTAACACACTGAAGTTTGGGCCATAGAACGGATGCAGAAGAACTCACACTTTGTGAATGTGGCCTACAATTATACTAAATAGAATTCACACACTGAAGTGGTGGCTCTGGACTAGATGCAGAAGAATTCACACCTCACAGGTTTGGCCCAAGGATGGACCCATTAGGACTTACACACTGAAGTTTAGGTGCTGGAATGGTTGCAGAATTTACACCTTGTAAATGTGACCCAGGTTTGCACTCAATAGAATTTACACGCTGAAGTATTGGCTCTGGAATGGATGCAGAAGAATTCATATCTTGCAAGTTTGGCCCAGAGTTGAACCCATTAGAACATACACACTGAAGGCCTGGAATAGATGCAGAAGCATTTACACCTCGCAAAGATGGCCCACGGTTGCACCCAATAGAATTTACACACTGAGGCGGTGGCTCTGGAATGGATGCAGAAGAATTCACATCTTGCAAATGTGGTCCAAGACAGAACACCTTAAATTTCATACCTTGAAGCTCAGTCCCAGGATTCAACTTGGCAGATTTTATTCCTTGCACCTGTGGCCTAGGCTCAAAATCTAAAGATTGTATACCTTGAAGCCCTGTTCCAAAGTGCAACTCAGATTTCACGCCTTGCAACTGTTATTGAAGGTTGAATTTCATAGATTTTACATCTTGAAGCTTTGTCCCTGTACATAATTCTGAAGATTTTCTATGTTGCAAATGTGGCCCAGGATTGAACACCATAAATTTGACACTTTGAAGGTCTGGCCATGGATTCAATTTATGAGATTTCTCATCTTGCTGCTGCTTTTCAGTATTGAACTCAGAAGGTGCCACACTGTGAATCTTTGATTCCAGGGCCAACTTAGAGAGTTCTGCAACCTGCAATTCTGGGTCATGGTTGCCCTCTGTAGAGTTCACTGTCCGAAGCTTTATCAACCCAGATTTCATATCTTGCAACTTTGCCCCAGGATTGAATTCTGTAGATTTCACACCTTGATGTTGTATCCCTGGTGTCAACATAAATAATTTTCTATCTTGTAACTGTGAGGTTGAGTTTAACCCCAAAGATGTCCTATCCTGTACCTTTGTACCTAGAGACAATTCAAAAGATTTTACATCTTGCTGCATTGGCCTAGGTATGAGCCCCACAGATTTCACTTTTTCAAGCTTTGTCGCTGGGATCTCTTCAGAAGATCTCATACCTTGCAATTGTGATTCAGAACTGAACTCCTTAGATTTTACGTCTTGAAGTTCTGTCCCCTTGATTGAGTTACAATATTTCATATCTTGCCACTGTGGGCCTGAGTTGAACTCCAAAGACTCCCCACCTTGAAGTTTTGTCTCTAGTGTTAACTGAGAAGATGTCACACCTTGTAACTTTGGACCACGGTTGTATTCTACAGATTTTACATCTTGATAGTTTGTTCGTTGAATCAACTCAGAGTATTTTTCACCTTGTATCTGTTGTCCAGAATTGAAATACATTGATTTCATACTTTGAAGCCTTGTCCCTGAGATTACCTCAGAAGATTTTATATCTTGAAAGTGTTGTCCAGAACTGAGCTTCACAGATTTTACATCTTGAAGCTTTATACCCATGATCAGATCAGAAGATTTTATATCTTGTAACTGTGGGCCTGATACCAGCTCTACAGATTTCACACCTGGAGACTTCCTCCCCGGGGTCAAATCAGATTTCTCACTTTGTAACTTTGGACTAGGTTTGAAGTCTACAGATTTCACACCCTGAAGCTTCACCCGTGGAATCATTTCAGAAGATTTCACATTCTGTAAATGTGGTCCAGAACTGAAATCCATAGATTTAATGTCTTGAAGCTTTATACCCATGATCAACCTAGAAGATTTTAAATCTTGCAACTGTGGGCCTGAGTTGGATTCTGCTAGTTTCACTTCTTGAAGCTTTGTCTTCAACATCGACTCAGAAGATTTCGCTCCTTGCAACTGTGGCCCAGGTTTGAAGTCTGTAGATTTGACACCTTGAATCTTGGTCTTCATGGTCAAATCAGAATGTGGGATATTTTTCAACTGTGAGCTGGGGTTTAACTCTATAAACTTCATGTCTTGGGACTTTGTCTTAGGGTTCAACTTAGAAGATTTGACACATTGCCATTGTGGCCCAGAGCTAAACTCCTCAGATTTCATACCTGGAAGCTTTGTTTGATGAGCCAACTCTGATGATTTTGTGCTTTTCAAGTGTAGTAAGAAGTTGAGTGCTACAGTTTTATCACTTTGTAATTGTAGCTCTTGGTTTAATACTCCAGATTTAACCCCTGAAAACTGTGGCTCTTTTGTAAACACTACAGACTTCACATCTTGCAGCTGTGTTCTTGGATATGCCTCCAAGGGTTTCACTTTGTGCAGCTGTGGTCTTGGGGTCAACTCAGAAGATTTCACATCTTGCAAATGAAGCCCAGGTTTGAATGCCATAGATTTTATATCATGGAGCTTTGATGTTGAAATTGGGCCACATGATTTCACACTTCTCAACTGTAACCCAGATTTCAAATCAATGGTTTTGAACCCTGGCAACTGATGTTCCTGGAGTGATGTCAAAGGTGGTACACTTTGGAGCTTTGGCCTTGGAGTCAACTCAGATGACTTCGCATCTCTTAATTGTATTGAAGGTTTCAATTCTACAGGTGTGACAGCACGAGACTGTGTACCACATTTTAGCATAGATTTCATATGTTGGAACTCAGGTACTGGTATCCACTGCACAGATTTCACACTTCCAAGCTGTGAGTCTTGGTTTAATGCCACAGTTTTTACCCCTTGAAGCTGTGGCTCTGAGGTCGATGCCAGAATTTTCCCTTTTGGCAACTGTGGTCCTTGGGACAACTTAGGAGTTTTCACAAATTGCAACTGTGGCCCATAGTTAAACTCCACAGGTTTTGCACCTTGAATTTTTGACCCTAGAATCAATTCAGATGATTTTACACCTCCTGACTCTATGGAGGATTTCAACTCTGCAGGTTTGACGCCTCGAGATTGTGAACCAAGATTCAGCCCTCCAGTTTTTACACCTTGGAACTCAGGTCCTGGTATCCACTGCACAGATTTTGCACTTCCAAGCCGTGAGTCTTGGTTTAACTCCACAGTTTTCACACCTTGAGGTTTTGGCTCTGAGCTTGATGCTGGAATTTTCCTTTTTCGCAGCTGTGGTCCTTGAGACAACTCAGGAGCTTTCACACAGTGCAACTGTGACCCAAGATTAAACTCCATAGATGTTGCACTTTGAAGTTTTGGACACAGAGGTAGTTGAGATGACTTTACACCTCCTGACTCTATAGAAGATTTCAACTCTGCAGGTTTGACAACTTGAGATTGTGAACCAAGATTTAACCCTATAGTTTTTACACCTTGGAACTCAGGTCCTGGTATCCACTGCACAGATTTCACACTTCCAAGCTGTGAGTCTTGGTTTAACTCGACAGTTTTCACACCTTGAAGTTGTGGCTCTGAGCCTGATGCCAAAATTTTCCCTTTTTGTAGTTGTGGTCCAGCAGACAACTCTGAGGTTTTTACATACTGCAACTGTGACCCAAGGTTAAACTCCATAGGTTTTGCACCTTGAAGTTTTGGTGCTAGAACCAATTTAGATGCTATCATATCTCCCAACTGTATGGAAAGTTTCAACTCTGCAGGTTTGACACTTTGAGATTGTGGCCCAAGATTTAATCCTACAGATTTTACACCTTGGAAGTCAGGTCTTGTTATCCACTGAACAGATTTCATTCTTCCAAGCTCTGGCTCTTTGTTTAACTCCACAATTTTCACACTTTGAAGCTGTGGCTTTGCAGTTGAGCCCAAGGGTTTCGCTTGGTGCAACTGTGGTCCTGGAGTCAATGTGGGAGATTTCAGACTTTGCAACTGTGGTTCATGTTTGAACTCTTTAGCCTTTACATCTTGCATATTTGGTTCTGGAGTCAATTCAGATGATTTTATACCTTTTGACTGTAGGTCAGACTTCAGGTCTACAGGTTTTATACATTCAGATTTTGACTCTGGAATTAACTCCAAAGACATTATACCTTCTGACTCAGACCCTCTCTTTACTTGCTCAAAATTCACACATTGCTGCTCTGGTGAGTTTACAGATATCTGACCACCCTGTTCCAGCTCAAGGGTTAAATCCTCAGGTGCCTGAAACTGTTGCTTTAGGGCTAAATCTACAGGTTTTACTTCTTCAAACTCTTGTTCTCTGGTTACATTCACAGATTTTACTACCAGTCTCTTCTGCCTTGGGGCAAACTCTACAGACTTTACACATTGCAGATGTGGATCTTGAGTCTCCTTTATAGATTTTAAACTTCGAAGCTTTAAACATGGAGTAATCTCCACAAATTTCATATCTTGCATTTGTGGGACTGAAGTCAGTTCCTCAGGTTTCATGCTTTGTAGCTGAGGCCTTTGAAGCATCTCCATAGATTTAACCCCTTGAAGCAATGGCTCTGGTGCAAAAGCCATAGACTTCTCACCTTGCATCTTTAGCCCAAATTTTAATTTCACAGCTTTCATATCGTGCAGCTGTGTACCTGGGACCAACTCCTCAGTTTTAAAATCTTGAATTCTTGAACCTGGAGTCAACTCCATAGATTTTACACCTTGAAGCTCCGAATCAGGGATGAATTTCACAGCTCTGACATCTTTTCTCTGTGACCCTAAGGTTATCGCCACAGATTTCCCACCTTCCAGCTGTGGACTTGGAGATATTTCCATTGATTTCATCCCTTCCAGGCATGGTCCTGGAGCTACGGTCACAGATTTCATATCTTCTAATTGTGACCCTGAGGTCAGCAACTCAGACTGGAGCTTTGAGCCTGGGGTTACCACCTCAAGTTTTACACCTCCTGCCTGTGGCTCTGGGGTTAACATCACAGATTTGACATCTT